GCGCCGCTGTATCGGCAAGGAGATGATGAAGCGAGACTTTCTACAGTCTCGCATTACATCTTGACACAATGACACTTGACTTCAACACATTTTGCAGTATTAGCCACTGTTCCGAGCTATTTGATGTGCGATTGTTTTACGATTTGTAGCGGATAATTATGAATGTAAATTGCCGTAACTAGCGTGCGCAGGTATGTAAAATCTTCACATTTCAAATTTGTTTTATTTTGTCCCAGTGATGATAGCCATGGATGTTTTTACGGAAACTAGTGCTGTTATTCGTAATTATTAAGCGTGTACAACTCTTGATAAGTAGAGTTGTGCCAGTATGGAGAAAATATATATTTAGAAATGCTACTTTTTCACCCGGTCGATTAGCCGCGTATTTATAGTCGGCACTATCTCCAAGTTGTTTTAAGACATCCAAAGTTTGAGTTCATAAATGCTGAGCTAGTGTAATAAACTGCAGGCCTGCAGAGTATATCTCGGATTGAATCATTTTTGAGAGCGCGAGAACGTGACAAAGATGACTAATTTTTGTGTGTTGCAGCGATGCTAATTTCGTGCTTCGACGTACACACGTAAAATTGCCCAAATATCGAAATCTTTTGAAATTTGAAACAAACCCCTTTTGTATTGATGATAAGCAAGGGTTTCTTAATCCACACACAAAGTTTAAGGCTGGGTTTATTTTTGAACCAGTATCGAGTGGTCGGAAATTACAGAGACGGACTCTTAAGGTGCAAAAAATTTTCCCTCACAAATTCTTGTTAAAACATGCTTAAAACCCCTTTTTTTTGCACCAATATCTTCAATATTTAACTTTAGAAACTTTTTTCTCACACCCGATTACTTATATCATAAAGCGTTTTATTTTCCAAATTTGGGGGCCACCCTTACACATTTTTTTAAAACTTTTTTCGTGCTCGAATTTTTTTTCTGTTTCCCCTGCTCGATTTTTATTTTTGCTTTTGCCTCCCCATCACTTTTCTAATGGTCCGCCCCTATTAAACTGTGACATTTGGGTAGTAATGTGTTTAGTAATATGTCATAATATTGTGCTGGCTATCTGGGCTATAGCTTTTATCTTTCTAACAATACGTGTAATTTATACCTATTGCAAATGTGGTACAATAAATTTGTCATTGACATTCTCAATGAGAAATTCACAACAGTTGTTGATTGAGGTCTTTCTTCTCATAGTATAGTCCTGTTCACCACAATAAATTGTGGTGAGCCGACTTGCATCGATTGTGTTTTGACAGTTCAAAATATTGTTCATTAAACCTTTTGAAAAAAATAATTAATATCCTTGAAAGCTATATTTTTTCCTAGTTGTACTATACTATAGTCTATACATTAGTTTTACCATACCGTGGAGGAAAACATTTAAACGTGCCTTTTCTCCAATTAAGTCGATTTCGTAGCCAAAACCAAATTAGCCATTTTGCTTTCACAAAAAAACACTGGTCGTTGTTTGTTTTCTTAGTATTCCATACCTTCGTTTCGAAATACATTTAATTTAACACTGGCCAGTGCTGGAATAAAATTATCCCTGACACGGGCCGTTTATTATACATGGCAAGTGAAAACAAGTTCTGAGCTCTCAAAATGTACCAGCTGGAACTATTTAAGAGTTTTTAATACTCGCTCAGGTACGTTGTCCGTCTTCGGCACTGTATATCACTCATTGTTCATAAATTGCTGCTAAAGACAGTGTATTGTAAAACGTAATTTCTAAAAAAATGCGAGCATGTTGTATAATGTATATTTAAAAAAACTTATTAATAATTCATCAGTAAAATACAAAATAAATTAATGTTTAATCAATGTTTGTAAATCGGATAAAGATTTGTCCTGATTTACATAAACTTCAGCTTTGATTTTCTCGGCTTAGATAATGTTTATTTTTAAAATTACTTCGCCAATGAACTCATAAGATGGGCTGTTTTTTAAGCACATTAAAACATTCGCATGCGATCTTCAATATTTTACGATTTTTATTAGAAAAGGTAAAAGGTAATAAAAAAATGCCGTTTCGATTTCGATTTCTACAAGAAAATTTAATTTTTAAAAATTGCCAGGGTGTTGTATGTATACACACACGTATGTATGTATATATAAAATTTTGCGATTTTTATTAGAAAACTTAATTTAAAAAAAACTAGTGCCAGCATGTTGTATTTACATACGTATGTTTTATTAGAAAATTTATTTTTTTTAAAAAAATGCCTGAATATCAGTTATACATACCAACATTTTGCGGCAAGCGGTATTCTGTAAACAGCGCCAAATTAAGATAGACTGGGTAGCGGCTATCAGAGAAAGGAGAGCCTGCACGAAACCTACTGTTTTGCCATTTCCGCCCACCTAGCCTGGGGGCTACGCCTACTTTCAACAGATGTCAAAATTGGCCAATCACACAGATTGTTTACGTTTGCAAATTTACTTGTCACAATAAAATAATATAGATTCCTTGCTTTATGTTTGCAAATTTCAAAACGAAATAATATATGGATGTCGGCTAAAGAAATTTGAAGTATGTAGGAATAGCGCTAGGCTTAGGGCAATCTCCATCCTCGTCACAAGTAGTTTGCAGTCCGTGCATGTGTGAGAAAACTACGAAATATCGTGGATACGTACAAATATAATTAGTTTCGACGGTGGTCAACCGGGACAGACCGTGATGTATTAATTAGAGAGGTTAAGATACCCCGATTCCGGTTTACGGGTACGGGTGATATACACGTACCCGTACCCGTAAATCGGGGAATAACTTGTAACTTAAGAAATCCAAGATACTCCGGCGTGAGAAAACCGGTCAAAGAATGGCAACTTTCGCTGTTGAGGTTCGTCGTAAATTGTTGAAAACTTTGACCAGCATATGTGCATTATTTATTGGGGTAAGATGCTGAAAATTTGTACTATTTAAACGGCCCAAATAGTAAACAGAAACCACCCGTACCCGTTTGTCGTTTACGTGTAGACCCCGGTTTACCGCGGGGAAACGGGTAGAAATTACGCGGGTAAAATTGCTGACATCAGCAAAAATTGGTAAACAAAATGGCGATACTCGTACCCGTAAACCGGAACCGGGGTATCTTAACCTCTCTATTGTTAAAGTTTCGGGCGATGCAGGGAAGCCAGTTAAGGTGTCTGAAGCCGTCACTCCAGAGAGAGCAAGTCCGGTTCATAAGACATTAGCATTCACAGCAATTCTCTCCTGGCACAAAATTATTAGGTACAAAATCATGAAGAAAAAATCTTTTGTCGTCGATGAAAACCAACACGCTCGTGAAAGAGACGCTTCTATTAACAAGCAACAATCCAACGAAGACTACACAGCCAATATCTTTAGAGCTTCATGAATAAAGTTCGAAATATCCTTATTATATGAACAATGGTGTTTTACTGGAAACTAAAACAGAACTCATACGTCACTACATCCGGGACCAGGTGCGCGTATTTTCCGTTTTTCACCCCTGCGAGTGACATACGAAGTTCGAAAATTTCTCGCCATTTCATTTTTGTTGTTTTGAAAATACAAATGGTCTTTGGTTCGTATTTAAAACGAAACAAGACGCCTGCTCAGGCGTTCACACTGGCCTGAAAATAACGAGATACGTGCTATGGTGTAAAAGGCAGGAATACAAATCTTAAACCGCAAGCAAATTTTATGGACTTTTAAAAAAAATAAAAGACCTTTTCGGGAGAGTTAATGGTGCAAATCTATTACTAGGAGTTACTGTCATACTTCTAGACAATTCTCGGTTATGTCCCTGAATGTTTCCTGCACAAATTTGTTTCTCGTTCATCATTTAAGCCCGTTCACAAACTCATTCTTAAATTGTGTGCAAGGAATACGAGTAAATAGCCAACATGAAAATGAAGCCATTGGGTCAAAAGTGGATATTAAGGTCTATTAACCTATTAGCTGACAATGTACACTACTTTAGTATTAACTCTGGCTAATATAACGCCAGACCAATTTGTAACGCCAGACGATTTTACTTGTTAGTGGCAGAGTACTGTCAGTAAGTGGGTTAACAAACACATCTGACATTGGTCTCTTATTAACCATTAACAGGCAATGCACCCTGATTTAGTCTTCTTTAGTGATTTAGTATTCTTTAGAATTTGCTCAGAGTCAACGTGAGTAAAATACATCTTGTATTCAAGCGGTTTCATGTACAAAGTTTCGTTTGAATACGGCACAAAGTAGGAATATTTATTTTGAATTTTTCAAAATATCGGGTTTTTACTCGCACGCACGTTTATAGCTCGATTGATGCACGTGCAATCATGCCGACCTACAGAATCGATTTCCGGTTTTTCCTAAAGAGCGCGTTGTTTTGATCGCCGCGCTAAAAATATAAATATTCTGTAAATACCGAAATAAAAGATGAAAATCCCAAGACACAAGCTTGAAAATAACACTATAAATAGTGTTTTCGATTCTGGTTCCAATAATATTATTACGAAAAAGATATGTCCAAAGGGGCCGAAGTTATGTTCGGCAAAATGCATGGCTAGTTTACATTGTTTGTTATATTATGAAATATGATACCATACTTGTATTTAAATTCGCGTCGAACTAAATGTTATTGCCTTTAGACAAATAAGTAGACTTGCCACAAGTCAACCTCGAACGAAATGCGTTTCTTCGAGGTCGACTTGTGGCAAGTCTAGCAAATGAGAACCATACAATAATGGTTCTAGTTCTTGTTGGTATTTTGAACGCACGCCTTATCTTTAGTAGAGCTACCACAAAGCTTTTCGCGCGGATTATATTTCGCGCAGTACTAAAATCTCCGCACCCAGCGGCCAGCGCTACGCGAATTCTCTTAATTCTAGTACTGCGCGGATTTTAACGCATGTATTTAAAGGTATATTGTCGACATTTGACTAAAACTATCGTAAGGAATTAGGAGAGTTTGTCCTTGTTTATATTCCAATATATTGTATAAATTCGCTGGGTACAAATTTATTAAATCTTGGGGCTTTCGAGTCGTTTTACAAAAAGAAAAACATTAATTGAACAGGCAAGAAAGTCCAGAGTGTTAAAAAAAATTAACACAAGTACACAACGGATGTTATGAGTCCACGACGTATATTTATAGTTGTTTATTAAAAAGTCAAACTGTCAAACCTTTAACTTGTCCTTGTTTACATATCCTTCTATAGATTGTATAAATTCGCTGGGTCCAAATTTTGTGGTTTTCGAGTCGTTGCACAAAGAAAAACACATTAATTCAACACGCAAGAAAGTCCAGAGTACGACACAGCGTAAAATCTATTGGAAACAGGCACAATTCTTTGAAAATTCAACGAAACTGTGTAAAATATAGTTTGATCACTCTGTGAAAATTCGCCATTGGAGTTAGGAATTGCGCGCGTGCGTACAAGTGTATGGAAAACGAAAAATGTACCACAAGCATGGCATGAGTCGACTATTACGTACATAAATACCAGCTTATTACTATGCTATCTAAATCATGGAACCGATAGCCTGCGAACAGGCTCTCAAGCTGAATTGAGAGCCTGCATCGATGACTAATGAATTCGAATATCTGCGTCTCAAATCGTGACGCGAAATTCTCATTGGTCAGATGCTATAATTTATATGTTTCCGCTGAGCTCTATATATGTCAACTGCTGAAGCACTATGCATAAAAAACACATTAACTGATCAAATTGGTCTTGGTCATCTTATCTCAAAGCACGAAATGTTCTGTTTTGAGAAAACAGTATTTAAAACATTTGAACTTTTGCTTGAATATCTTATATTTCGAAAAACAGTATAAACTGTACGGTCTAAATTTAGTTTGCACGGTCTAAATTTAGTTTGCACGAAAGTTGTAAACAACACCATATAAGGATAGACATTCCATATTTGGAAAAAGAACGTTACGGGGCAGATATTCAAATTCATTAGTCATCGATGCAGGCTCTCAATTCAGCTTGAGAGCCTGTTCGCAGGCTATGGAACCGATGGCATTTTGGCTTAATCGTTGCACCCTGAGCCTGCGATGAGCTAACGCAAACTCCATTTCTCGAGTACGAAAAAAAAACAGAAAAAGAGGGATTTAAGACACTTGGCCTACAGGCCAGTGTAATTAAAATTGGAAATTAAACGAAAACATTTAAAAGAAATCTTGAGATAAGTAAAATTTATTCTAGTTTATGTTTGCACTGATAATTTTAAAAAATATCGCTTTTATACTGGTCTTTTGTGTGCTTATTTGCGCCATAGAATTTTTTTTAATTGTCAAAATAATTGATTATACTAAGAGAATTAAATCATTTTTTAAAATAAAATTTGGAAGTCACCGATGTCGTTTATGAGTTAAATTACTTTAAAGCCAAAATATCCGCCATCTCGAAACGTCATTGTTGCTATAGCAACGGCAGCTGTGTAACTTTTGTGCAAAAATTCAAACTCTTTAGATGTTGTTTGATAAATGCAAGGTACATTTTGTTCATCAACAAGTAAAAATTGTCCAAATATACCAGCATGAGCTCCACCTTTGATTTTACTACAGTATAATTATGAGTAAATTGTTAAACAGGTGGAATGACCCTCAAATTTTTCTCAAATTTTTGAAAAAATTAAAAAAATTTTTTGGTTTTATATGATGCCTATGTTATCAAAATATACTCCTATGTTGCTTGCTCCATGATTTTATGCCTAAAATGTGTTTATTTTAAGGGTTTTTTACTGGATATTCACTCGTTGCTATGGAAACAAATTTGTTTACCCTTTGTTTTTTGCCTATAAAAGCGAATTTATTTACAAAATTTTCCTTAAAAAGCGTGGGGTATTTAGGGACGACTGGGCTCTAATCTAAGCTTTTCCCCAGGCCCCCTACGAAACGCGCAGACGAAAAAAAACAACATTCTTTCTAACATTGTGATCAGTAATGCAAGAAAATAACGAGGAAAGCGAGGTTTCTTTGAGTGCTGATGAGGGCAACGTTGGCGACATTCCAGCTGGAATTTCAGTGTCCTACAAGAAGCTTCAGCCTCGTGTTCGGCAGAATTCCAGTGAGAAAAGAACCCCTAAACCTTCAACAGAACGTTCTGAAGGGTATTTATGGATTCAGGCTTTGTGATATGGAACTTATTGGAAATGTTTTTTCCATATTTGTCAGCTTCCCAGAATGTATACAACACAATGGAAGAAAATAGTATCGTGAAGGTTGTGCTTCTAAATTCCACCTCACTTGCCAAAACTGCAAATGGATGCATTTTTCTTGGATTTCAGAACGAAAAACAAAAGAGTTTTGAGGTAAATTGACGATTAGTGTATGGAATGCGAATGATTGGCAAAGGTCATGCTGGTGCATCAAAGGTTTGCTCTGTCATGAACATGCCACCACCACCACCTAGACCAAAGTCTTTCAAGAAGTCATCTCGTGTCGTTGCTAAGCATGCAAAGACAGTTGCTAAGAAGAGCATGAAAGCAACTGCAAAAGAAGTGTGTGTTTTGCAACAAAGTGAAGATGTTGATGGAACAAATCCTGTAAACTGTGGTATTTGATGTGACGGTACCTGGCAACGAAGGGGAAATTCATCATGTAAAGGGCGTGTTACGGTTATGTCGATGGATAGCGGGAAAGCAGCGATGTTTTGCTAATTTTAGAAGAGGGGGGACGCCCTTGAAAATCAAATGGGCGTGGTCATTCGATTGGGCGTGGCCATTGGCCATGAAATTAAACAAGCGGGGATTTAGTGACTTTAGTCTAATAGGCAAGCTTATCAAAATATGTCACATTGCTGTCGATGACGGTTAACGGATGGCTACGAAGCCAGTTTCAACTTCTGAAATTATGTCTTCCACAGATTTTCAGTAAAGAATTCAACGATTTTAGATCTTTTAGAAATCATATCTCTTATTAACTACAATGGTCAACAACCTATTTTACAATTTCTGGCTTAGGCTTGATTTTTATAAATTAGTATAGTCTTTCACGCATTCGCGAAATTAAACATTAAAATCATCAATGGGAACATAAAATGATTCAATAAGAACATTAACATGAATGGGAAAGATTCAAGGATATCTATTATCCAAGCTTATTCAGTTACTCGTGAAAACGTCATATTTAACTTGCAAAGTTGCCTATTTGCCGAGTTGGTTGACTCACATAGCACTAATGCATAATCGAAATTGGAAAGTTAACGTGGTTTTATTTGCTTTTTGACATCTACCGCGCGCAAGCTACATGTTTTTCAGGTATCATGTTCTGCTAACTCCATGCATAAGGTAATTCAAATTATATCCCGCTGGGCTGCTGCCTGACGTTATCTCCGTGCTGATGACAATTGATTGTGAACTATCTAAGTGGACGTCAATCATAAGACTCTAGACTATTATTTTGTACTAGTCTGCTAGAAATTTCGGCAAATAACACGTATGTAGAACAAGTGATAGCCAAAATTATTTGGACGGTGTCGAACGGCGCTCACTGAACTTCGCTAATATTTAATCCCTGCCAGGGGGAACGGCGTTCCCCCATGTTTGATTTTGGCAAGGGGAACGCCGTTCCCCTGGTAAAAAAAGGTGGGGGGACGGCGTTCCCCCGCGTTCCCCCTGGAAAACATCACTGCGGGAAAGTTCTTGATGTTGAGACACTGAGTCACTGAGTACATTTTGCAAAAGAGGCAATCATTGAACTTTTAAATCTACTGGATATTACTCCTGGCAAGTATACAGAAGTGGCTTGTCAACTTGAAGACAAGTTGAGAGTTTCGCATGCAGAACACAAATCCACGCCCGAAGTTAAAAGGAACTCCTTCTCAGCAGGGGCCATGTAATTCGTTCATATCTTTGGTTCAGTGCACGCTATGTAAATGAAAATACTACCATTCGATTCAGTATAAAAATATACACTAATTTATAACGATAGTTTTAGTCAGTGGCTAAATTGTAGCGACTTATGAGCTTTGAAAGTCAAGCGAGCTTGGTATTTGATCAAATTACACAATATTACTAACAAATTATAAACATAGACATACCTTTCGCCGAACATAACTTCGGCCCCTTGAGACGTATGCTCATTCAGGTAGTCTTGCTGAATGAAGCAGTTAAAAATAACATGTATACTGTTATTTTCAAGCTTCTATCTTTAAAATACGAGTTTTCTTGCCGAATTTTGCATTTCTGCCCCGAATTTGCGTTAATCCCAACCGGAAATACGACGAAAAACCGTCAAAACAATGCGTAGTTTGTATCGCGTGACTCTGGAAATGCCAGAAATGGATTCTACAGGTCAAAGTGCACCCATACGCGTGAGTTTGACGTCATCCCGGCTAAAGGGAGCTCCTTATTGGCCAAGTATTACGTAATACAAGCGCGTGCGAGTAAACCCGATACCTTGAAAAATTCAAAATAAATATTTCTACTCGCCGTATTCATACGAAACTTTCTACACTAAAGCGCTTGAATACAAAGAGTATTTTGCACATATATCCTTTCAGAAAATGACACCAAATTTTAGAATATATTCAACTTTTTCTCTTTTTCCCGTTTGAATGTTTGGCGAAGCCGTGAGTATAAATATATGATTGTTTCGGTTTGTGTAATGTTTTGAAGGCACTTGACCCCCGTTCGAAAGGTTATATTGTGAGGATTTCAATGGTGGCATTTATTTAATAGGGGGGGGGGGTAAATACTCGCCGATATATTTATAGTAAAGTGATGAGAGGACTGAAAAAACAAAAGTATGACAAAAACAAACAGGAGGAGGGAGTAAAGTATGGTGCTGGAGAGTTCTATTGACTTTTAGGGACATGAAGTGTTTTTGGTAACCAATTACATGCATAGTATGAAAAGTTTAAACTGTATTTTCTCCAATAAACGATTTTCGCAAGGTTTGTAATCTGCCAACAATGATATCTCAAAAACAATTAAACAGATTTGGCTAAAATTTTCAGAGGATGTTTACTTAATCAAAAGCTATGCAATGAACTAGAATGAAGTCATTAGGTCAAATATTTTTTGTGCTATAAGCAAAAATTCATGCTGATCATGATTAAATTTCAGGCACACATAATCACATATTGTTTCATTCAGAACTTAGAAACTATTTATCTGATTTAAAATCTTTTAGTTCATTGCATGGGTCTGGTAGTGCTTATTATTTTCCCAAAGTTTCATAGACAAATCTTAAATTGCTTTCGAGTTATGATCGTTGGCGCAATGGTCCGCTGCAAGGCGTTTCGAGCTGTTATCTTGGTAACCATGGCAACAGCATATGTCGGACTCACATAAATGTAAATACTTTTCTATTTTCTATTAGAGAAAAAAATATGAGAACCGGAAAAACAAAACACTGACTATTGCAGGACTCGAACCGCCGATTAGCAGTACGTGAGAACGCACGTAACGCCCTAGACAAACACGCCACCGGCACTCGCTGAAATTTAAATTCAGAAAATCTAAATATATACTGGTGTAAACATATACAAACTAGAGGGCGCTCAGAGACTGCATACCTCCGCCCGCTACTCGGAAGTGAAACGCAACCTTGGAATTTGCTAAGAAATCCACTTTGCAATTCTTAAGTATAAAAGATTTTAGGCCCCGCGAATTGAAATCGAATTGCTAATAGATCATATTACTGTTGTTGTACTGTACAGTACTTGTAAAATAAAACTTATTTCAAAAGTGTCATTAAATAAATGCATAAATTTTGCTTTATGCACTCGCGTGTGCAGTGATTTTGACAGTTGTGCTATTTTAAATTCCCAGGCAGCTAAAATATTTTGTCCTTAAAACAATGTCGATTTCTTAGTGGGAAATCAGTTTTTTTATACACCCTGTATTGAAGTAATCTAATGTTATTAGAATTTGAATGGACTGGCGGCACTTTGCTGAACGCAATAATGCGTAACTCCGTAAGCCTTGTTTTAGACATTGAATTTCGGTCGTGTGAAATGCAACTAAGACAATAGATACTGAAGGCTGAAGCTTAATGAGGTTTATCATCTCATTATTGTCTTAGTACTGCGTGCATACATTATACACGTCCTAATTACGCATTCATGCAGTGAGTTTTTTTAATTGATCGGGAAAAGCAAGACAGAATTTTGTTCATTTCTCGTTCAACTTTTAACCAAATTCAACCAAATTTTAATCAGTTCTTCCTTAGTCGATGGGAAGTGCATTCAAAATATTGCGTATGAATATGTTTGGTATTTCCACAGGCGGCCCAATCTTACCCTGTGTTACGTTATATCTCTATATAAATAGTATATTGAAAATCATTAGAAAATCCTGTGTTATTAATTTATTACGTTATATCTTTATATAACAGTATAATGAAAAGCACTTACATGTGTTTCTTGAAAGATTTTAACGAGAACTGGCCAAGATTGGCGTTGACAAGAGGTTAATGGCCATAGTTGTGGTTGACATGAGGATTAACAGCAAGAAATAATACAAGCCTGGTCACTTTGACCGTTAATTGGACTAATTGGGAGAAACGCTGACAGAAATCAATCCAATAACGCGAACTTCGGCTGTCACATCCTCGCCAAATTACGTTACATCGGAAGAGCGATAATTTTTACATAATATACTTTTCTTAAACAGAATTGAACAATATCTTCCTGCAGAAAATGCCAATTGAAACTTGCAAATGTCTAATTTTCCGATGTTTGTGACTGGTATGAATTCATGGCCTTCAAATTCGAATTACACGCTGCATTATCATTGGTCGGCTTTCAAAACAACAACAGGACATTTCCGGTAAGAGAGCAAACGTTTGGGGAGTTAGCGAATGGCCTCTGCGAATGGCCTGTTGTTGTTTTGAAAGCCGACCAATGACAATGCAGCTAAAATCTTTTATGCTTAAGAATTGCAAAGTGGATTTCTTAGCAAATTCCAAGGTTGCGTTTCACTTCCGAGTAGCGGGCGGAGGTATACAGTCTCTGAGTGCCCTCTAGTTTACGAATGTTTTGTTTAGAACTCATGATAGCGCCGCCCATGCAGTATATATAAAGTTAGTTCAGTTTATGTTCCTCCTGTAGTAACACTGGACCAGTAAGAGATGATCTTTACTGGACTATATATAAAGTTAGTTTAGTTTAGGTTTCCTCCTGTGGTAACAGTGGATCAATAAAAGATTATCCCTACTGGACTTCTATATAGAGAGAACAGTTTAGAGCTGAAAAGCTATCCAGCAAAAATAAAGTTAGTTTAGGTTTCCTCCTGTAGTAACACTGGATCAATAAGAGATGATCCTTACTGGACCTCTAGGAAGAACAGTTCAGAACTGATAGAGCTATCATATCCAGCATCAATAAAGTTAGTTTAGTTTAGGTTTCCTCCTGTAGAAACACTGGATCAATAAGAGATGATCCTTACTGGATCTCTAGGGAGAACAGTTTAGAAGTGAGAGAGCTATCTGATAAATAAAGTTAGTTTAGTTTAGGTTTCCTGCTGTAGTAACATTGGATCAATACGAGATGATCATTACTGGACCTCTAGGGAGAATAGTTTAGAACTGATATGATAGAACTATGCAGTATAAATAA